GCTTTGGCGAGAGTCTTGAGCGGCTTGCGCTTCCTTGACAGTTGTGCGAAGGCGGAGGTGGCAGCTGAGAATGCGTCCTCTTGATAGCTGTCAAGCTTGCGCTCCAAGTTCTTGACATGGACATTGGTGGTCCAACCAGTCAAGTACTTGTTGCGCTTTCTCAAGAAGCAAACCTCCTCCCAGAAGGTTTGCATCTCAGTGTTCTGCTCCTCAATCTTGGCATGACTTGTGTGCAACTGAATCAAGTCACAATGACGCTCAACTACATGCTGGTGTTCCTCTGCAAGGCCATCCTTTAGCTCTTGAGAGACAGTGCTGAGTCTTCCAACCTTGTTGACTTCCAGCGCAAGCGCTTTCTTTTCACAACGGGGTGCTGACATTCTATCTGGCAATCTCTGTGCAGGATCACATTCAGCACAAGACTCCATAGGTTCCACCAGGTGCTTCATCTCAGTCCAAGGATCAATTGTCCACCAACTTCTTGGCTTCAGGGAGGTTCAACCTAGGGTTGGCAATTGGCACTGCCCCTGACCTCCCCTATGCCACACAAACCTCAACCAGGTGGTGCTGGAGAGCCATCAAGCAGAAGCACATCTGGCACAAGTGCTGGCAATGGTCCTACTAGGCAGATACAAGAAGGAAAAGAAGTCAAGGGCAATTAGTGAATGAACAGTCAGATACTCACTGCGGCTTCTCAAGAACCAAATCTCATCCGAGAGGTCTCTCATCTCTGTAGCTTCATCTTCTCTGTCAGCGTGACTTGTGTGGGATTGGATGAGATCCTAATGGCCCCGATAGACCATGTGGTGCTTTGCAACCCTGACCTCTTGCAGGACAGTCTCAAGCTTGGCAATCTTGTTGTCTCTTAGCGCCAGCATTTTCCATTCCATGCTCTGCTGACTGCTGTACTCGCGAGCGTTTGGCAGGTTGACCTGAGCGCTGATGAGGGCCTAGAGCGACTTGCTCCCATACAGCATCCAAGCAACGACTCCTGAAGTTTTGTGCACAGATTTTCAGACTGCCTCTCAAAGTTGACTTTGAACCCTGACGAAGTGTGTGGAAGCCAAACGGGAGCTGGCACTTGACGTTAACCAATCAGAAGATGGTGCTGATGGACATCTGGGAGGGTTTGAGGGTCTTCAGAAAGCTCATGCTGGTGCAGAGGATAAATTTGCCAAGACTCAAGCCCAGAGTAATGGTGCTAACAAGCGACGAGAGTCATCCAAGGCTCAGACAGACGAATGGACAACCCTTCTTTCCGAGGCTGACTCACAAAAGCCCGCGCTTGCTTTTTCGGGCCAGCTAGGCAGAAGGTAGCAATAATGCTGTTCATGTCAAACCTTCATGTGGACAGAGAGTCGCATTCTTCTTGGGCAAACTGCTGATCCCACAGCTGGCATGAAATCTGTCCATTTGGCATCAGACTTTTTGAACTTCAGCATCTTGCTCCCAGGTCCGCTTGCTCTGCTCCAACACTGCACAGCTTTGACCCCTGTTCTGTCTCCTGTTGCTTGTCTTGCTTGTCTCGCCTTTAGGACTAGATCCAACGGCAAAACCCTCCATCACAAAGAGACCAGACTGGCATGGGATGTTGCGCTACCTTCTATCCCTCAATTGAGGATGTGGTGTCAAACCTCTTACATGCTTTGCAGCAAGATGAGCTGCTGGCACTGCTGTCACTAGTGGACATTCAAGGAAGTGACTCCACGCCACACTTGGGCACTTTGCTCAGAGCAACTGCTACCCACACATCTCCTTGTGTGCCTCTCTGAAGCTTCACTTGCAACCCCAGAACATCTCTTGGCTTCTTCACTACCACATTCTCGCAACCACCAGCTCGTAGAGAACCTTTCCACATCAAACGCCAACTCTACTCACTTCACTTGGGTCCTCATAATGAGGCCCTCAACCCAACCTGCTGCGCCTCAGCGCAAAATTTACTTGTGGCACATCAACTACGCCACCCAGATGGTGGACGAGCGCGAGAAGGCTCGCATCGAGGTGAGTTACAAGTTGTCGCCATTGTCCTACAAAGGGGCAATGGTGTCTCATTGTAGATGCGTTCATGGGAGGCGAGGCTCTATGTACATGCATGAGCGCGTGGGCAACAGAGTGTAGTCAAGCAACCAACATCTCAAAGAGCACCTCTCCCGCCTCACATTCCAAATCCCATTCATATCTCTCCAATCATCAAGATGAGGAACCAAACCAAGCCGACTCAAGTGCGCATCTACTCCTGGCACCGCATCTACGCCACCAATGCGGCCAACAAAGGCGAGACGGCTTGCATCAAAGTGAGTTACAACTCTTTGCTTTCTCCTCCATCCACTGCAATGATGTTTGCAAGGAGGTCACCCACTCCCACACCCCCCCTTCCTGCAGAGATGCTCAGCAGCCCCCAATGTGCTGCTCTCTTTGACCGGCTCAAGGAGGAAAAGAACTGCAAGGAGGCTTGCCTCAAGAAGGAGGCAGAAAAGGTTGCCAAGGACTTTATGAAATCTGTGAGTCTTGTTGACAAAGCATTGTTGAGGTCTCTCTGACTGACCATTTGCAAGTTCCAGCCTTCTGAGCACTTTCAAGAAGAGATCAACAAGCTTGAGAAAGAGCAGAAAGAGGAGGATGCTGATGATAGCGAGTAAGGTGGTAGTGTCTGCTTCTCTCTTGAGCCCCCCCTCTCCCCTCCACCAGCATCCCCACTTTCCAGCCTTCTGAGCGCTGCCAAGATGAGATCGACATGAAATTCCAGCCTTCCAGGTGCCTGCTTGAGGAGGCAGCAGATTGAGAAGAGGAGGAAGCAGAGCAGGTGAAAGATGCGAAGGCCAGCTTCGACAGCATTTCAGATGGCACAGCCTGCCGCTACCTCGTCGTCTCTAGCAGCTGATGCGACGACACTGACCCTAGTGTACCAATCAACATGGTGTTTGAGCACTGTGTCTCAAATCTTCATTTGTGAACTATGGATGAGCTGATCAGTAGTGACGGTCATGAGTTGAGCCAACAGGAGTTGTCTTTGCCGCAATCCGCTCATGTATTGTCAAGCGCACACAAGTTGTTCAGCATGCCACCAAGTCACAGCAGGGTATGCTCAGTGAAGAGGGGCATACACAGTGGGGCATTGAGCTTGAGCTAGCCAAAGGCAGTCAGAATGTTGGAAGGTTTGCTTGTCTGGAAGGCTTGCATGACCTACACCTGGGCACTGAGACTGCAAAGAAGCTTGCACAAAAGCATCTGGAGGGGAGTGAAGGTGCGCATTGTTGAGCACAGATTGCACAGCCTGACCGCGAAAAGACAGTGAGGAAGATGGCTATGCAGGGTTGGACAAGGCAACCCCTGCCGCGTTGGAGTGGGGGTGGTCAAAGGGCGCCAGCCGCCAAGTCACACCAGACCACGCTCAGTGAAGAGACGCATACACAGTGCCAAATAGAGCTTGAGCTTGCGAAGGGCAGTCAAGATGCTGCAAGGTTTGCTTGTCTGGACTGCCTCCACAACTTGCATCCGGGCACCAAGACTGGAACAAAACTTGCACAAAAGCATCTGGAGGGCAGCAAAGGTGCGCATTGTCGAGCACAGACTGCACAGCCCAACCGCGGAAAGACATCTTTAGAGGTACTTCTCCCGCCCATCAGCGTCGCTAAGCGTAATGTGACCCTAAGTAATGTGACCCTCAAGTCAAGGAAGACATCTGAGCCATCCACACTTGACCGCCATTTGCCCGTTCAGCACAATCCTGCATTGATACCAGCAAAAAACAAACATTGTCAGTCCCCTCCACTTTCCATTTGTAGAGCGGAGCTAGCACACGCTACTCAGCACAAATCCCGCGGTGATAGACCATCTCGAGGAGAGGAGATGGCCAAGATGATTGAACACAACAAGGTAGCCAAGGATCTCATGTCCTCTATAGGCCTCAGTGACGAAATTGGTGTTCTAAGCCTTCTGCGTGCCTGACGCTCTGCTTTGCCTTAGAGATTCATGCTTCTCATGGCTTTTGAAGTTTGGGTATGACTATGCGATTGCGCTTTTGGACACTTTCTGGCTTCCTTGGGAATTCCAATTGTCTTTTTCACCTTTCTGCTGGCTTCAGCAAGTGTTGCACTCCATTGGAGATGCTTCAAGAAGCAGTCCTGCTTGGGTAGCAGCAGCTGGCTTCATAATATACTTTGTGCGCCCTCTTCCCTGTCATTGGTGATACAAACGCACTTGTAGGATTAGTGAAGCCCATCACAATGTTACATTGCATTGCTTTTTCCGCGCTTTGAACGAGCAAGTACTCAACAAGAGACTTTGGGCCTTTCTAGCTGGGTACTCTCACCAGAGTGTGTGAAGCTGAGCTTGGTGGCCAGCTGCCATTTGGCTTTTCTACCTTTGGCAGGGTCTGTGCTCAAGCTGACATGCCAAGTCTGCAACAGCAAGCAAATCTGAGTAGACTGAGCTTTAGGCACCTCTCCTTCTACCTGTTACTTGGCAAGGCTTTATTGGCGTTGGAGCTCGAGCTAGCATATACATCGGGCTCTTGCCCCTCAAAATTGGAGTGTGGGTTAGACGTTTACTTAGACCCTTTGCCTGCGTTTGAGACTTCATCGCTAGTGCTCCTAGGAGCGTCGGCGGCACTTATTGACTAAGGAAGGGTCTGCCACTATACCACAGAGCAACGAAACGCCACCTTTCGTGCAATGATTCGCAAGCGCCAAGAGCTAAGAGGGTGCGACGAATGTGCAAAGCACAGGCGCCCGCTACGCGTCACGCTGAGTGTGGACTCGCGCTTGTGCATATACAACTTGTGGAGGCGTGCTGATTTGTGGGCCGGGCACCCTTTCTCGACCCCATCAGGCGAGCGAAGCATCGCAGATTGTGTCAACTAACAACGTCCATCTCTTCGCCTCTGCCGC